TTTTACGAGAGGTGGGGTTTTTGGGAGGTTGTGGGTGTACCACTTATTTTATTTGCAGGAATACTCGCCTTTTGGGTTGAGGGGCGAGTCACAGTCCTGGCCTGCCTTTTCACTGACTGCTACAGGTCCTCTCTCTCCCGCTCCATGAGCTTTACAAACCCTCGTCTTAAAACAGTAGGGTTCCTGTCTCCACTACGTACTTTCTGGCTTTTCCCCTTTCCTGACACTCTATGACGAAGAAATATTTTCCAAACATCATTTTGATCATCAATTTCCCAAATTGTACCCCTTGTTTCTGTGTCCCTCTTAAACTCCTTTGCCACCTTGTAAATTTCCTCGCATATTTTGTATGTCTTTATCATGTCTCCCCTGACCCCCCTGTCCTCCATGTTTCAGCCGTTTCCCCTTTAAACTTTTCTTCAAGGACACTCCTTTTTGCTCGGGATTGTCTTGTTGAAAACCCTTTCGCACTTCTCTAATTTCTTGACGTGCTTGCCAGGTGTGGATTCCAAACGGGTGCTGCATACTCCAGTAGGTCTGACGTATAGGGTGTACTGAGCATAAACGTTTCCTTACTGACGTATCGGAAGCTTTTCTTAGGTTGCCGACACCAGTATGCTGTACATTATCCGATTGATGTGGCCCCTCAAAAGTGTTTTTTAAATACTCACCCCAAGATTTATTCTCTGATGGTTTGGCAGTTTTTGGGTCCCCTGTCGCAGTTTCTTTGCCCTTTCCCCCATTTTAATGACTTTGCTTTTTGGGCAGGGTTAAATTCAAGGACCAGTTGCTGGCCAAACTTCCAGCTTCTGGGGTTCTTACCTCCCGATACTCGCCCGATTTAATTACCCTTTAAACTTCAAAACATCTGCAAACAGGGACATTCTGAGTCACCCCTTCCGTTATGCACAATGACCAAAAACAGCAAGGCCTGGGACTACCCCTGTGGAACCCGCTGTCACAGGCGCCCACTCTACACCTCGTCATGTACCATACTCGTTGTTGCCTCCCTGTCAAATATTTTGATCCATTGCAGTGCCTTTCGTGTTTGCGTGCCCGATCCCCCAAGTTTTTGCATTAACTCTTTTTAGGAACTGTGTCGAAGGCCTTCTTGTATCCCAAAAAAATGCAGCTATCCCCCCCTCTCTCTCGGTCTTATTTCGTTACCTTGTCATAAAACTCAAGGTTTTGACACAGGGTTTTCCTTCCCTGAAACCAGTTGGTTTCGTTTATAAGCTTGTATCTTTTTAGGGCTCCACCACTCTCCTCCTGATGATCTTTTCCCTGATTCACATCTTTCATTTAGTGACAATGATCTGTATTTAAAGCCTCGCTTGTTCCTTTCTTAAAAATTGGGATATATTTTCCCTCCCACACACAGCATCTTTTCTCCCCCCTCTAAAAGGGCCCTTGGAGAATGTTGGCCACCCTTTTTTGGTTTCGAGTTTTGCATAAACTTTTTCACCCCCTCCCTGAATTCCCGGAGTCCTTTCCCGTCTCCACGTAAATACTTCTTTAAATCTCTTGTTGAGCTCCTTACATACCTCTTGGTCACTTCTTGTGAATTCCCCCACCTTCCTTCCTCTGCCTGATTACCTGGTCCTTGACTGTTGTTTTCCTCTTGATGTGGCTATACAACAGCTTCAGATCAGACTTGAATTTCGATGCTATGTCATTTTCGTATTGTCGCTGAGCCTCCCTACTTATCTGTGCATATTCATTTCTGGCTCTTCGGCTAATCTCTATTTTCCTGGGTCCTTTGTCTTCTGTACTTTTTCCATTTTCTACTGCACTTAGTTTTTGCCTCCCCACACCTTTGGGTGAACCAAGGACTCGTTATGCTCTTCCCATTATTTCTGTTTCCCCTGAGAACCTCTCCGCTGTCTCCTTTCATTTTGTCGTCACAAAATCCATCATTTCTTTTATTGGTTTTCCTACCAATTCTCTCCCACTGAACTCTTGCAGAAAGATCCTCATGCCTGCATAGTCCCCCCCCCCCCTTTTGTAGTTTGGCTTTTCCCGACCTATTCCTGCTACCCTTTCCACTTGTGGCTCAACTAAACAATCAAAGCACAGAACCAAATGATCACTTGTTCCAAGGGATCTTTCGTAGGTGATATCCTCGATGTCCGAACTACTCAGGGTGAATACTAGGTCCAGTCTTGCTGGATCATCCTCGCCTCTCTCTGGTAGTGTCTCGAACATGTTGATACATGGTTTTCCAGTACCACATCCCTCTTGGCTCTCCATGTTTTGGGACCCCATGGGGCTCCAAGTTATCCCAGTCAATCTCCTTGTGATTGAAATCACCCGTAATTAGTAACTTTGCTCTCCCCATGTGAGCTCTCCTGGCCACCTCTGCTAGTGTCCACCATTTCTCTGTTGCTCTCGTCCTATTCTTCTCTTGGCCAACTGCAGATCTGTGGCGGGTTATACATTACTGTAATTACCAGCTTATGACCCTCAGAGTGGATAGTTCCGACTATGTAGTCCCTTTCGCACATTCCATCCAATCCTTCCATTCCCCAAATCCCCACTGGTTTTCCAATGAACAGTGCAACTCCTCCCCCCACTCTGCTCCCTATATCTTTCCTGAGGATTTGATATCCGGGTGTGTGTGTGTGTGTGTGTGTGTGTGGTGTGTGTGTGTGTGTGTGTGTGTGTGTGTGTGTGTGTGTGTGTGTGTGTGTGTGTGTGTGTGTGTGTGTGCGCGCGCGCGCCCCCCCCCCCTATATGTGGTTGCTGGGTTCGTCATAGCTCCTGGGCCCACCTCTTCGCTAGTCTACTAGATCACTCTCTCCCCGCTCCAAGAGCCTCATCATACCTCTTCTTAAAGCTATATAGTAAACCTTCCTCCTCTACTTCACTCACCAGATTGTTCCACTTCCTCTCAACTCTTAAGGCTAAAGAAATACTTCTTAACATTACTATGACTCATCTGAGTTCTCAACTTCCAGTTGTGTCCCCTTGTTCCTGTGTCCCATCTTTGAAGCACTCTAACCCTGTCTACCTTGTTAATCGTTATCATGTCCCTTCTATCCCTCCTATTCTCTAGTGTCACCATGCTGAGTTCCCTTAACCTCTCCTTTTAGCTTCGGGGTTAGTCTTGCTGCAAACTTTTGCACTTTCTCCAATTTCTTGATTTGTTTGACCATACTGTGCTGCATACTCCAATATGGGCCTGACGTACATGGTGTACAGTCATGAATGACTCCTTACTTAGATGTTGAAAAGCTATTCTCAGGTTTGCCAGGTGTCCATATGTTGCAGTGGTTATTTGGTTGATGTGCGCCTCAAGGGATAGTTCGGTAAACTGCTAACCCTAAGATCCTTTTTCTTATGTGAGGTTTGAAGCCTTTGAGCCCCTACCATATACTCCATCTACGATCTTCTTTGTCCTTCCTCAAGCTTTATGACTTTGCACTTGGTGGGGTTAAACTCCAGGAGTCATTTGTCGGACCAAGCTTGCAGCCTGTCTAGATCCCCTTGTAATCTTACCTGATCCTCGTTCATTTGTATTCTTTTCATTATTTTCACATCAGCGAACTGGGATACATCTTAATCTGTTCCTTCAATCATAGCATTCACATATACAAGAAATAGCAAGGGACCCAGGACTGACCCTTGTGGAACCCCACTAGACAAGCGCCCACTCTGACACCTCATCACGTACCAACACTAGTTTCTTTCCTATCAGGTATACCCTGATCCACTGCAGTACTTTTCCTGTTATTCCTGCCTGCTACTCTAGTTTTTGAACCAGTCTCTTGTGTGGTACTCTGTCGAAATAACTTCTTACAGTCCAAGAAGATGCAATCTACCCGTCCCTCTCTCTCGTCTTCTGTTACCTTCTTGTAGAACTCCATTACGTTTTTGACATGATTTTCCATCCCTAAGGCTGTGCTGGCTGTCATGTATGAACCCACTCTCTTCTAATAATGTTCTCCATAACTCTGCATGCTATACATCTCAGTAGCACTGGTCTGTAGTTTAATGTGGCTACATTTGCTGT